TAGTCTTGTTGGTTTACATGGACGACCATGAGCAATATATGGAGCGAGACTAAGTTTATTGAATATGAACGTTATCGGAAAAATAAGCAATAGTTTGCTGATGCTTTGGAGTTGACTTTGATTTCAAAACCCAAACTGTATCTTTTTTCCTGTTCTGGAAATGACTTTGCAGAATATGACTGAGAACTACCAATACGAATGAAATCAACTAATTTGTAGGCGTATTCATTCGAAACCTTAAGAGAGAGTGGTAAGGAGTTTTTGTTATATGTGGGCACACATGTTAGTGTTTCCACTAGTTTTCATTGTTAATACAAAGCTATATGTCTCTTGTGTCTTGATAGTCTGTAGGTGCTACATGGAGCTTTGCAGGCCCAACGGCTGCTTGTGTTGATGTTTGTGCTGTTGGTGGTCTACTAGCTTAGCCACAGAGAATCTAGAAATCATGATAGACAAAAAACTTCTTTGCAGTAGAGTGTTGAAAACATTTATAACTGCCCACAGCAGCCACTGTTTGTATTTCTCGTCTGTGCTTTTTTAAATCTTTGATGGGCTTTGGGGTTGGTTTGTTTTTTTCACTTGTTTCTCTTTGTGGTGATGTTTGCTGTGGCTCTCTTTCCTGTTCGTGCGCACTTTTGGACGAATTCAACCTAAGCATAATCTATGCTGACTTTTTTGTAGGACGGTGTCAAAGTGCAGCCTCTGTATTGTTTAAATTCACATAATCCCTGTCTTAGGCGTGAATCCAGACCAAGACCCTGAATCTGACTTTACTCTACAAACATAAAAGTGTTGTCTATCTTTACAAATTACTCTCAGCAAGAAAGGAAACTATGCATATGTTCCAGTTTGTCAAGCTACTTAAGAGTCCTAAGACTTTAAGACTGAATTAATAATGGTGGTATTTACATTTTGTCTTTTATCTCACAAGAGTTTTCTGACTAATACTGGATTTAGTAAACGCTCTTCTTTCATACTGCCCTCCAGCATCCTACGCCTACACCTCTCGTCCCACACCCTCTGTTCCTCCACCCAATGCCCGTTTAACAGGATCATCTCTGCTCGCAGGAAGTAATCCATAATTCCTGACAATACTGGATTAAATACTACAAGATTAGCGGCTAGAGACAGCTCAAATCTCAAATTCCTCAATTATTTCAGCTCTGTCTATGACACCAATCTGACCTCTGAACTCAAATGATAACAAAAGAAGACCTCAAACGCAAGCGTGAGAGCTCAAGTGACAGATGTTGAAGTGACAGATGTTGCTGTTGGACAGATGGGCGGGGAAGTCAAATAGATTAGAAGTGGTGAGATAAAGTGTGGGCTGTCACACATTTTGAGAAAGCTTGTGTGGCCAAATGGGCAAACATATGGATGATGGTGTACTTTAGTAAAAGGATTGACTGAGAATGGTTGTACTTTCACGTGTTTGTTTGACATCGTAGAAGGCTATGCTTTAAAACAAAAAGCCAAAATATACTTTTAAAACACTGTTGTGCTTTCCAAAGGCACTGGTGGGGCAAGTGTTTAATTCTGGGCTTCAATTTGGGCTTCGACAAGAACCATTTCAAAGCATCATGAGAGGATGAGCAGAAAATTCACAGTAACTTGATTTGGATAGCTCTCTTAATAAACTTACATGTAGTACAATATGTATATCATGTACTTCCTTTCATACTGCATGAAGTTCAACAGAGTCTTGTAGTCAAACTGAATATGTCAACTGGTCCACTTATTGGAAGTGACAGTTTCAGAGTTTGACTGTCACTGAAACGCTAGCTGCTGCATTTTGCAGCCACAACTAATACTACACTGAAGACAACACTAATATGCACAAACTCCAACAATGCCACAAACATACAGAAGATGTCAGCCAGAAGATAGACGCAGCCAGATGTCAATGGCATTTATAAGCCCCAACATTAGCATTTTGACTGCCACCATGTTAGCTTTTCCAAAGCAGAAGTATATTCTGACAAACACGGTGACTAAACTAGGGATTTTAGTGCGAAATTTGGGTATGAATGTGTACTTCATTGCAGACCTTATCATTTGTTGGATAATTTCATTAAAAAGGCTCCAACACACATAGACAGCAGCAAGGTCCAGTTAAGCTATTTTAATTATATGCTATAGTAGCCTATGTCATAAACCTGTCAATCAGAGTGGTGAGCCTCCAGTTTCAGCCAGTACAGTTGTTATGAAGTAAAAAACTATCAACACTGCATAAAACCTTTTTAATACTGCTCCCTTAGACGATTTATTATGAGAGCTTCTTGGTCTCTGGGAAGCTTGCTAGCTAACTAGCTAGTACTAGCATTGAGTTTACAGCTACAAATAAAACAAATGTTTCTGTGAAGACACCTTACAAAATAAGAGAGTGCATGTTTGAGATGTAATCACTAACTTCCCTGACTTTCACTTGTTTTAGGCTAGGCTACTACTAGCTAACTAGCCACTATTCTGTGCAAAAATGTTTTGACGAAACACTCTTTCAGGCAGAAACTCTGTTCACACTTTACAAAAGTGAGAAGATTGGAAAACAAGACTACAATTACTCGTACTTTTCCCTTTTTCCTTCCTCCTAACCTTAAATAACCTAATCTTCTACCCCCACTCCCTTAACATGTGCTAACCAACAGACTGGTGCTGTTAAGGTTGCATGACTCCACAGTGAAATACATGACAGGAAATAATGTATGGCTGTGAACCTGAGGTTATTGCAGTGATAAGGTGAACACCAATAACTGCACATATTGTGGAGGAGAAAGGACAAAAATAGATAAGGTGATGTCTATTACGAGAACCTCCTCCGCCGTGACACCCAAGCCCCTATTCCTGTCTTCTGCCTTGTCGAGGCTGATAATCCTGACACATGGAAAACAGCCTGATGATGCCTCACCTCGCATGGACAGACGAAACAGGACAGTGTGAGACACACACACACACACACACACACACACACACACA